CATACCGAGCTCCTTAAAACTCGAGTTCAGATCTTCAAGGTGGCTCGCAATATTTGTGAAGATCACACCCGGGTGCAGACTGAACGCGAGAAGATTCCGGGACGCAAGCTTTTCAGCCAGAGAGATGGCCATGAGCATATTCGCCGTCTTGGTCTGCCCATATGCAAGCCATCTATTGTATACCTTACCATTCTGATAACAGACATCAGCTCTGCTCACAACCCTTTGAAGCATCCGTGCAGAAGAACAAACAACCACTCACATCAAAGTTATAATCCGTAAACCTGATCCCACTCAACCGGTGCCCATCACTAGCAACCATGACAACCCTGGGGCTCCCCGCCGCCACAACCTTCCCCATAATCAAGTTCGTCAGCAGGAACGGCCCTAGATGGTTCGTTGCAAACTGCGACTCCACCCCCTCCCGCGAAAGCGCATACTCCGTGGCCATAATGGCCGCGTTGTTAACCACTACATCGATCGCCGGGATATCAGGCCACGAGTTGATCTCCGCAGCTGCCTGCCGGATGCTTTCCAAGGAAGCCAGATCGATTTCCACGAGACGGGTCTCGACGTTTGGATGCGAGGCCTTGATCTCGTCGGCAGTCTGCTGGATTTTGCTCCTGTTGCGGCCGGCGAGAATAAGACACCTTGGTTCGGCGGCCGCGATGGACTGCACGAAGTGGCTGCCTAGGCTGCCGGGGAAACACCGGTGGTGAGGATGACTTTGCCTTTGATATGGCTGGCATAGTTGTGGACTAGTACTTGGGCGGGAGTGTTCTTGTCAATGGGAGACATGATTGTCGGTGCGAAGGATTTTTTGGATTGAGCTTGTGGGTGTGCATCTTGAGAAGACTTGTGTTTTATTTCTATACGTAGGACCACGCTGGATGGCACTTTTTTAGATGCAACACGGCAATCTCGGGGTATGCGGAGATGCATCCTGCTGACTGCGGAGATAGCGTCTTTACCTCCAAGGCACGAGTAAGCGGAGATGACGTCCTTCTGACTGTTGTGAGGCGGAGATATCTTCTTTGTCTCCCACGCAGGTTTGGTAATGTGAAGAACGTCTTTATGAAGGTATTAAATTCATCGGAATCCAAAACCTGTGAATGAGATGATGTTATTGAGATCTGGATCGATCATACTTATAAAAGTAATCTATGTGGATGTTCCTGCCGGAGAAAACTTATTTCGTCTCCTCGCAAACAGATGGCAATTTGAGTAAATGACTGTAACTTGGGAAAGAAAGATATTCATATGGTAAGACAGAGCTAGACGAGGAAAACAATTTTTCATTCCTTTCTGCTTATGCTGATATGGCTTGGGAAGAAACATGCCGACTGGAACGACGCGAGGATAGCATCTGCAAAATCAAGAACCACATCAAACTCCGTGGTGCCTAAAGGGTCTTCTGCATCCGATCCACTCGAATTGGATATTGAGAAACGAGCCGCAATTTAGCGATTAAAATGATAAACTAACGAAACGAGAAATCAAACTGCCTCAAATCATGATGGATGCTTCTCTAACCAGTAGTAGAAGGTGCTCCGAAGACAGGAGGAACCTGAAAACTGGAAGTAGTAAGCGTGGAATCACCGATTCTAATAAGCGTCCTGCGCAGCTATAGCTTTGCTATAAGTATCCCAAGGGGTGATGGCTCCCAGCGCGCGCCGTTGATGGGCGTTTAGGAACTCTAGGCCGTACACATAACTGGCGTTAACCCAGCCAAACCTGTATCCAATCGTCAGTCATCTGGTGCGAGTGGCTGAAAGACGTAGACACTTACCCTTCTCGAGGCGCACCCTTGAAATCTACACCCTGGTTGCCATATTCGGCATCGACCCTGTGTGGATCGATAGGCCGAGTGACGTCGTATTTCTCGACGACAACACCGTTAAAGTCAACAAAGGCCTTGGTAATCATATACAACCACTTATAGGCCAGACGCTCAGCTTCCTCCTGGTAGCCGTATCTCAGCAGTCCCGTCCAGGCCAACATCTGCTGCGGAGCCCAGCCGTACGGGTAGTCCCATTGCCGATTAGGCCTGTCAAGACCAACAGCACCGCGGGACTCCTCAGTTCCGGAAACCAGACCCCCATAGACCTCAAATCTGGGCAAAGCCTTCCTCACCATTTCTGCCGCTTGGTGCGGTGTCGCAAGTCCGGCCCACATGGCCCAGAATGTCGTGGCGCTCTCATAAGTCGTCCGCTTCTGCAGAACCGTATCATAGTCGAAGTACATGCCCTTCTCATCATCCCAGAGGTAGGTATCCATCCGCACCTTGCGTCTTCTTGCACGACGATCCCACACAGAGGATGACTCGCTTTCAATATCCTTGGTCGACTCAGTGCGGAATTCAGGAGGAATCTCAAGCCTGTCTTTGAAATAGGTCCGGATAATCCTGGCGATATCGACCTCGTACTTGTACAAAAGAGAGTTCAAGTCTACCGTGGCCAAATTAGCGCAAACTCTCTCAAGACGGTAGCTGGTATCGTGGCCTGATTCACGGACGGCCCTATCGTGCAAGAAGTACTCGTCGAGCTCAGGTTCCTCGACTTTGCCTTCATTGTAAGCCTGAACGAACTCTTTGAACCCCATACCATGCTTTTCAGCATAAGGAGTGAGGATATGCGTGAAATGGGTCGGTTCGGTTTCGGGAGGGACGCCCCTTCCTTCCGGACGGTACCTGGACAAACCCGACAGCTCGTCATAACGCGGTGCAGCCGTCCACACGCTGTAGTATTCCTTAATCGCAGCGAGTGTTGCGTTGCGAAGGAATTCCATTGCGTCCGGCTCGTTCTTGATACGCTCATAGACGCGCAGGGCCATGTCGGTCAAGAACGGTGGCTGAGAGCGAGTGAGGTAGTATGAGCGGTTGGCATTCAATATCTTGCCGTAATGCTTGATACAGAAGCAAAAGTTGATGACCATGGCTTTGGCCAAGTCCACTCTGTTGCTAACCAACAAGCCTAGAGACTCCATGTAGCTGTCCCACCCATACAACTCGTTGAATCTGCCTCCTGGGACAACAAACGGCACACCAACGTATTCGGTCTTTTGGGTAGATTCATTGTACTTCTTCTGCATTGCTAACGCCAGCAACCCCGGCTTAGAGTTAAGGTCCCTCACATAGTCCGGTGTAATCTTCGCGTCGAGCATCTGCACATCAAGTCGCAACTCGGGGTGCTCCTGGGCAATCCCCTTGTAGTACTCAAACTGCTCGGGAGCACCGGGGGGAATATAAATTCGGGGCCGCGGGTCATCAGTCCAATCTTTCGGATCCCTGCCGGCGACTTCAATATTGGAACCATCAATGCGACGAGTAAGAGCGTCCCAAAATGAATTTTTGATAAGGCGAGATAGACGCGCAACGGGGTTCTCACTCAAACGAGCTTCGTCGAGAATGATGTGCTTCCTCCCATAGTCTTTGGCGATGGTGAGCTCCTGGAGAAGATTGGAAAGCATGTACGTTCCTCGCACATCGAATCGGTTGTACCCCGATGACGCAGCAGTTCCTACGGACAACACCTGAACAGCACAAATCAGCCGTCGCTCGAAATATGACTTGCACCATTCGGGGCCAATGAGAAGACCAGGTCACATACTTTCGGACCAACATCCTCAATTGTTATCTGCATGTTCCTGTCCGTATCCTCCCGTTCCAGCAAGCTCTGCAGGGTTGTGTCGACATCGATAAGGAACTTTCGTGGATGTGCTGAAAGCTCATCTGTTGAGCACGTGCGGGTCAGTCACCGCAACTTTGTTCCCAGTTTGTTCTTCGCAGGGGCTTCGGATACGTACCATGGCTGCCTCTCCTGGCAGGAATCTTGCCCAGAAGGTCCTGGATATCCTCGCGGTTGAATGCTTTCAAAGTCTATGTATTACCGAGATCGATTAGTAAAATGCCCCGGTCTCCGACGTCTCGTAAGCATGTTGTAACTCACCGAAGAAAACGCACGCCGGCGGTCCCGAATCCGCGCAACTGAATCCTCGTCTCCATAATAAACGTCAGGATCAGAAAATGGATCGAGAGAATTCGTTCGTCGATGCTGTGTATTGGACGAGCTCATCGTCTGGCGGTCGTGGAAGAATAAATGGAATGGATCTCGGAGTCAAAAAGGCTAAAAGAATGATCAGAGCAAGGATTGTTGGGCTGAACGAGGGAAAGCGAGAGATCAATGACCGCGCCTAAAGTCGTCCGTGGCGTTCTTTCTGTGTCCCTTAAAAATTGCTATATGCTTGGTGTCAGAATTCCAGATTGCAATACAGTGTGAAAAGTCCTCAGTGATAAATGACGAAGGGGAAAAGATAGACAAAGGGGAGTTCCACACGAATTGGCCACACCGATCAATTATTAGTTACCACAGACGACGGACGGAGGAATGACAACGTGCGCCGTGGGGGGATTCACTTTTGTTTTTCTTTTTTTTTCCCCTTCGGATTCCGCTTGATTTGGCTTTCTTTCTTTTTCTGTCCAAGTGACTTCCGAAGTTGGACTTTCTGAGTAATTCCTGAACAATTCAACTCCGACAATGATAAAGAGGTTCATTGTGCTGGTATGACGGCATAGTGAACTGATGATGTCGCCGCTCCACAGGGATCCATCACTACATCATTGCCGCTCATCACTACTATCTTTCGTAGCCCGTAGATAGGGTATCCACAGAGTCAAAGAAAGTTATCGATAGCAATCATGACAAGGATATGCTCGAATTGAGAACGTGCAAATGGAGGGGGAGGGGCCGAATGAAATAAATTTTATCGGATCAACAAATCATAAGTAACAGATCGGAGCGAAGAATAAGAGGGAAATACATCGAAATCGGTTGGTTACGATCAAACGGTTGTGTTAAATTTACCAGTGTCGACCACGGGTGCATATGATAGATCGAAGGCCTTTACCAGAGGTATCAACAATACCAATCCAATATCAATTCTAGCTATTCGCTTGGAGATGTCATTCCTCGATTATTCTTCCATATCCCCACGCCGCTTCACTATTTCGTATGGTATCGTCTAAAACTGTTCAGTGTTTGAGATCGACGTCCAGCAGAAGACCCAGCAACGAGTCTGTTATCTCCCGCAAGGCGTTCACCAGGAAGCAGTATCGCACGATCAAGTTGAACTGGCAGCCCGCGATGGCGTCCTCGTATCATCATGGCACAGATGACGATTTTGCTAAAGACGCTAAACTGTCCACAGAATGAGGTTGTCACATTGGGGTATCCCAGACTGAGACCAACGTTTCCACTGCAATAGATCAGACATCTTCGGGGAAGGCAAGGAATAGATACTGTACTCACTATGCAGAGACAATCTCAAAGAATATGGAAAACACGCTAAAGGCCTGCAAGAAGTCAGTGGTGCGAGGTCTAAAACGGAAACAAGATTGGAAACCAACAGGTTCCGAAGGGTCCATGATCCTCCGCGCCTCGGTGGCACAGATACAGAATATACCAAGAAATATATACCAAAGATCAAAGCTGAGTTGATTGCGCATATGCGTTAGCACGTAATTCATGCCATTGTTCTCATCCAGCTCATCCTGATCAGAGGGATATAGCCCAAGAGCACGTTCTTCGTACGTATTTGAAGCACGGATGCTGATGGCAATCGGAAAAATCGAAATATACATCATGACTAGTAAGCTGAATTGAACTGCAGGGTTCACTTCTGCGAGGTTGAAGGACGAAGTTCCGGTATGGCGTGCCGAAGCAGCCTGAAAAATGGCCGCGAGGACGCGCTGCCCACCGGATAAAGTGTTGACGGCTGGATTATGGAGATCAAGCAGCACAATGAGCAAGACGTCCACAAAGTTCAACACAAAAAGGATTCCAAAGAGCACCCATGTAGGTCGGCTACGAAAGAGCAGCGTGTAACAACGGCGTGGATAATTCAACAAGAAGCTCAGCGGCTCCCTGAGGGACGAATGTTCCGGGGCGCATTTGTACATGATCCAGATGATGAGGCGTAGAAAGCAGGGGTACATAGTATGCCCTGCGTAGGCGAGAAAACTCATGATGAACATCGGAAATGCCGCGTCTCGAAACGAGATCATCGAGTCAGGAGTGAGTGTGACTCCTAGGTTGTCAACCATCGTCTGGGACGTGTACAAGGCCCTGCCGGCAGCGAGCATAGTAAGCCTTGCTGATCTTGGACTGCCATATGCTCATGCAGAAGCAAACCTACCACCAAACGTTTCCTTGTCCGCATTCCTTCAGATAGTCCCTGTATTTGGGATCCGCATGTTGAATCCAAGGCACCAGGCAAATGACACCAAAGACATGGAGGCCAACAAAATAGCCTATGCTCATATGTCAGTCTCTCCGTTCGAGTATGAGATAAGTCGGCCCTCACCAAATGTTATCTTCAGAAGTAGCTTGAGACTGCGATACTCTATTCCTCCCAGCGCCTCTCTGTCTTCTGAGGTCAGGTTGTAGAACGTTGAGTTTCTGCCGAGACTGGCTTGTGAGGAAAGGCGCGGCAGCTCCGGGTCTTTAGCAAGGGGGATGGTTCTCCTCGACTGTCGCTCTTGAGATCTAGAGGGATAAGACCCTAGCACAAACATTGACGAAGCCACACGCTCCAGCGGGATGCCGCTGACCAAAGTTCGGTGGCGAGCTATATCCGTTTGATGATCTTCATCATCGGTGGGTTTGAAATTGCCTGGTTTTGACAGATGTATTAGTGTTTATCTCTCTTGAAGATACACCTCTCTAGAGATCATACCGTGGTCGTCTATCTCGGTGATAGCATGACCTAGACCCTGTTAGCCGGGACTGAGTTCCTCAACTCAAAACCAGGAATTACCTCTATCGAGTTCGCGCGGCGAGGGTATATGTAAAGCCTTTGAGTCTTCTGCAAAGGAAATCTGTCTGTGTTTGGTCGAGTTGTCGCCGCCGTTGTTGTCATTGTCTTTGACGATGCAATTATATTCCCTGAAAACCGCCTTGAAGCTTAGACAACCCACTCGTAATTAAAACAAGTCAGTGGAAGAACTCACTTATTCAGCTTCAGCTGATTATCAAACAGAGTGCTCGAGTGCAACTGCCCTGTATTGGCTTCTGGAGGCTCATCGGCATTAAACTTGGCTGGTCGCGCTTCTGCATCTTTCGAGCGTGATGATTCTGATTGCAGAAGAGTAGGTGCTTCACGAAGTTAGCAACAACAAAGCCTAGATCAGATTGAATATGCGATAGATGAGCTGTAACACATACCCAGCTTTTTCAGACGCTTCTCGAACCAGTGCAGACGCACAACGACCACTACAACATTGATAAAACCGGCGTTGGCGATAATGGGAACAAAGTACAGAAATAGCTGTTGATAGGTCTTCAGCTCCTTCACGTCAACACTTTTTTGCTCGGATTTTCATCAGCAAGTGTTCTCCATGGACTTCGGAGTGAGGTCAACAAACGGGTTCAGTCCTGATTCTGTCGAGGAGCTCACTCCGAAAAGGTAGGCATCGACTACACTGAGATTGCCGTACGGATAGAGGATAACAATCCCTAAGATGCCCAGAGTAACAATGTATGCATCTAATTTCCGATGAGCTTGCACAGAATGATGTAAGTCAGATAAGGTTAACGCACAATGCAAGGTTATGAAATTAAGTGGTGGCTTCCACATTCCTTGCCTCAAGATAGATCTTGACCGCAACTTGAGATATACCCTCGCAACCAGGTCGTCGATACTTCTAGGTTGAGTCCAGGAACCGATGCTAGTCCGAATACTCTTAGAGGCTTTCGTTTCGTTCAATTAAGTGGCCCTGAAGTAGAACGTTAATATATTAGACTCTCACCGAATTCGCCCATCTAAAGCTTTATAGTATAGAGCGCGTTAGCTGAGGGATTTGCTGGACCAATCCAAAGCTCACAAAACAGCAACCCCACGCGACTATGAAGCTCCCCTGCGTCGATAAAGCTTCAGATGTAAGAGGCAATTATCTCATCCACTGCTTAACAAATGTCGGAATACGAGCTCTCAAGATATTTTTACTGAGCCACCGCCATCGGGCTGGAAATGATGAGATCTGAGAGTCGCAAAGGACGATCTGTCAGCCTGGAAACCTCAATTGGGTCAAGGCAAGACCTGCGTTTACCTATCCCAACTTTTACGGTACGATGGCATCAGAAGATCTGCTCAGTTGACTCCTTGACGCTGAGGAGTCGGGATGGTCTATCCACGCCAAGGCAATATTCCGCTCGCTGAACTGGGTTAGGGTGGCTATCTCGCGGACAGAAGTATCATGCAAACCCCCAGCGATCGACTGAAGTGCACAAGTTAGATTAGACACGTGGATATCTTTGACCCTGTTTAGCTATTTTTATTGCCAGAGGTCGAGACTTGTTGCATGCAACCCCTGCTCAACTGCTCGTAACAGTGCAAGGCAGCCACAACCAGGGAAATAATCTCAGATAATCTCGGCAACACCTCCTTGAATAGGTCATGATAAGCGTGTGCATTCGAACATTTTTGCTTTTCTAGTCTGCGCTAAGCCGGTTGTGTATGTTGTCTACATCTTCGCAGCAATCGCGCTACCACCGTCCACCGTGATTGTCGCACCATTGATGTACGCACCAGCCCGACTGCTGAGGAAAAGGCAAGCACCAGCGACGTCCTGAGGCGTGCCAATACGGCCCAGTGGGTTAGCACCTTCGATAGAATCCCGGAATTTCTCCAACGTGGCGGCCATCATCTTGCTCTCGAAGGGACCGCAAGCCAGGGTGTTGGATCTGCGAGAAGCCATATTAGTTGCCTTTTTCGACGCACGGAATCAGCATAAGGTGTACGAACGTGATATTCCTCCTGCCAAGGTGATGTGCGAGAACACGGCTCAGATGGTGCAAGCCAGCCTTGCTAGCGCTGTACGCGAACGTCTCTAGAGCCGGAACTCTCAACCCATCAATGCTACCGATGTTAATGATACGAGCTGGATCATTCGGCGCACCAGCCTTCTCAAGAAGAGGCGTAAGGAGCTTGGTGAGATCAAAGACTCGTTGAAGGTTCAGGGTGAGAACTCTGGTCCAGGCAGACGAGGGATATTCATCGTAAGGAGCACCCCAGTTTGACCCGGAGTTGTTCACGAGGACATGAAGCTCTGGTAGAGCATGAGATTAGCCTTCCGCCTGAGCAGGGCTCCCAAAACCAACTTACTGCTTTCGCGCTTGGCAATCTCCTCAGCTAGCCTCCTGCATTCCTCCTCCTTGTAGAAGTCCGCGGGAATAGCATACGCCTTTCCCCGGCCAATAGCATTCAGCTCCTGCACGGCCTTCTCGCAAGCCTTGGCATCTCGAGACGAGATGTAAACTGTTGCGCCGTTGGTGACGTAACCTTCGGAAATCATGCGCCCAATGCCTTTGGCTCCGCCGGTGACCAGCACCACTTTGCCCTACATAATTGTTAGCAATATGCAAAATGTTGGCGCGCAAGCAATGAGCACCAATACTAACCTCCACATTGAAGAGGCTCTGGGTATCCATGGCAATAGTGTCAAAAATGATTCTAAGGCGAAGAAAAATAGAAACGAATGAAGGGAATGAGTTCTGAAGAATCTTTCAAGGGAGATGTGTCTTCGCCATGGTCGAGGCGAGAAATGCCCTCCTCATATAGTCTAGCTACGATGCTTATCCGACGACCGAGAGACTGTTGCACGGCTTGGCGAAGAATACCGAGGCTGTTCGGAGCAGGAACAACAGAAGCACCGAATAGACGCTATGCCTAATCTAGGAAAATACAGGGCTGTCTGGGCGCTTGTGGGGGCCAAGTGCTGTTTCATGATATTTGTCTTGAGTTGCAATTGTTCTACAGTTGCATGGCGTTGGTACCATAGATGACATTATCGTTTCAGCACCTTTTGATTGGTTTCATGTACAGTCTCGCATATTTCCTTTAGACTTGCTCTCAATACCCGAAGATTATAGATTTTACGCTTTACCTTGCATTTTGCCTGCGTTCATCCAAAAATGGAAGAGCTATTAGCGAGACATCGCAAAGAGCAGAAAGATCTTCAGGCGCGCATCACACAGAAGAAGAAATCGGCTACAAAGAAGACACGTCGAGGAATAAATGAAGAATGCGAGAGACTGCAGCGCGAGCTCTCCGATCGGCACCAAGCTGAAATTGCAGCGCTCAACGGCGAATCTATCCAGCCAGTCGCTAGCTTCGAGGACCTTAGTCTTCGAGATTCCGATGTTGAAGATGCAGATACAGCAGAGAAACCCACGCCAGATGGTACACAAGCCACAGACAGCCTCCCGGAGCCTTCAACGACCGAGTCGACTGCGACCTCCACACCTGCCTCCGCCCCACGTACGAAGAAACCAAATCGACAGAAAGCTCGTCTGGCACGTCGGGCAGCGGAACAGGCGGCTCAGTCGGCGCTCGCCGCAGAAGAGGCCGCACAACAGGTTGACCATCGTGGTAACGAAAAGGAGGTGATGGAGGCTGTTTACAAACGGCTCGGCTTGAAAGAGGTGGAAATCAACCCAGATGGGCACTGTCTGTACTCAGCTATTGCCAATCAGTTGGACGAATCAGGGCTTGGGCTAAGGCCTGATCCACAAAGGATAGTCATTCAACCCCAGACACAGTCTCGGATTGATACGGTTGCTTCGCCCAAACATGATGGCTACAGAGCGGTTCGAGCAGTGGCAGCGGATTTCATCGTCGAGCACAAGGATGACTTCGAGCCCTTTATGGAGGAGCCGTTGGATTCGTATACACGGAAGATCAAGCTTACGGCGGAGTGGGGAGGACAGCTGGAGCTGCAGGCAATCGCTCGGGCGTATGGAGTTAACATTAATGTCATTCAAGGCGATGGCAGGATAGAGAAGATCGAAGCCGGCAATATGGATGGAATTGATGAGGAGGAAAGAAATAAGCGGGTCATCTGGTTGGCATACTACCGGCATACGTACGGGCTTGGAGAGCATTATAATGCACTTACGAAACAATCATAGAGCAGCCATTCTACAAGGGAGAAACATGCGATTTGATATCTGGTTCTCGAAGCTGCTAATTGCTCTTAAGCGTCTCAGGATCGTTGTCAGGGTTCCGAATTACGCCACAAAGAACAAAAGGATTGATGAGCTAGTTCGGGCGGCGCCAGATCGATACTCGGTCTTGGACCTCTCCTTCCGCATTCTTCCCATTTTCATGCGTCCGAGCTGGTTGCCAATATGCCACTCGCTCAAGCCCCTGTGGGCTTGGCGCTTTTGATGGGTCAATGCTACATTGACGGTTTGCATCATACGGGATCTCTTCGCCAGGGTGGCTCAGATGTGCCAAATAGGCCTCGGATGTAGAGGCCCATGGAGGGCCCTGTAGTGACGGATCCTTGTGCCTTGGGTATTCAAGGCAAATGAGATGCCCACGCGGCGAATCTGCCAGAAGCTGGGTGTGTCTGAGCGCCCATTGCGGGCGCATTAACGGGTTCAAGGCGCAAAAGAACTACCAAACTCAGCAATTTAGCGAGAAAACCACAGTACTGCGATATAGAAGCTAGCTGACTCTGCTCCTGAGAAAGAAAGTAGACACTAGGCCGGGTGCATTGGACTGAGATCCACATACCGTGTAGTCGTAGATCAAATCGAAAGAATTGCGAGGCAATTGCAGCTTCTCCAACCAAGTATCCTGGAAGAAATCACCCTGCACGAAGGTGATTTTGCCTTGACCAATCTCCGCATCCCGTACGGGATACTTATCCCCATTCTTTGCCTGTTCCTCTTTACACACCTCCACGGCAGTGGCGCTATATTCCAGACCGTAGGCATCGTACCCGAAACTGGCTAGGAGAAGCACATCGACACCTCTTCCGCACCCTGGGACTAATGCCTTCCTCCGGTACGTGTTGCCCTGCGCATCTCGGGCAATGGGGCTTCCGATGATAGTGCGCTTCTCGATCAAGGTATCCTCCAATGCTGGATTGGGGAATCCTTTGTCAAAGGGGAGAGGTTTACCCTTACTCTTATCCCAGAGCTCAGCCCATCCTTCAACGTAATTCTCCTTGTATCCCGCCAGGAATCCCGGGATACTGGAAGGGAGTTTGGGGTCGTTCGACATCAATGAGATAATACGGAATCTATGGCGGTTTGTCCTTCAACGTTGCTCGAATCCAGCTCGTCCGCGAATCAAGGCGCAAAGCCTTATATAGTGCCTAGGTACGAGGCGGGGTAAGTTATGGTTCTGGGAAGGCCCGAATAAACGGTTCGCTTTTGGTTCCCTCACTATACCCACTTCTCCAGGATTTCAATCGACGACGGTCTCAAACTCTCTCGTAATGACTAATGATTAATAAGCCAGCCGATCAAGTTTATTGCTTCGGTAGAATGAAATCCTCATTTATGCACAACTGTGCTGAGAACTCTTGGGATCAATGAGCGATCTCAAGCTCTCCGCGTCCACTCCATATTCGAGAGGAAGGATTCGTCGATATGCAAGATACCTATTATTTTTGAGGTGGCATGTTACCTTGGGTAGTAGATGGAGACAAGTGATCCGAAAGAACCTTAGGCAATCTTGAGGGTACCTTGCTATATCGGCGTACACAAGAAGCCGATTGATGCTAAAAGCAGGTCACCTAACATGCACAGGAAACGATATCACAGGGAATTAAACGGTTACGCCCGCGCCATGCGTAAATTAGCAATATTTCGAAGCTTGGGGAGACATTGGCATCCACTGCTACAAGATGGCCTAATCATCTTGCAAGTCTATCTTTCAGAGAGGAGACTTGCGATAGGTCCACGTTCATTGACTCATAGGTATCAGAAAGCTGAGTCAACTATTTCATACTGCAGGGATCGCCATCCCATCTCCTCTGGGGTCACTTCCCGCACTGTAGACCAACTGGCCATCGTCGTGATGACAGCGAATGATCTGTCCGCGACCAAACATTCCCCTTTGCCACCCTTTCAAGACCTTGACTTGATGTCCAAGCCGCTTGAGGCCTTCAATCGTTTCGCCACTAATACCCTCCTCGATATAGATGGTCTGATTGCCAGGCTCAGAGTCAGCCGCGATACAGATCCGTGGAGCATCCAGCGCTGCTTGAGGATGATAGTTGAACGCAAGCATATTGAGAAGAACCTGGACATGGCCCTGTGGCTGCATGAAACCACCCATGACCCCGTAAACAGAGTGGAGAGAGCCATCTGAGCAATTGGTGATCAGGGCAGGAATGATTGTGTGGTACGGTCGCTTTCGTGGAGCCAACGCATTAGGATGAGCTGGGTCCAGAGAGAAGTTGGCGCCGCGGTTCTGTAGCGTAAAGCCGCAACCTTTCGGAATGATCCCACTACCAAATCCAGCGTAGTTACTGTTGATAAAGGAAATACCGTTGCCCTCTTCATCAGTCACGGCGAAGTAGACAGTGTCGCAGTGATTGTGAGCTGGACTACCGTGATCGACGATGGCTGCCGCTTTCTCCGGGTTGAACAGCTTCGCCCGTTCGGCCAGGTACTCCCTGGAGATCAGCTCTTTCGACGGTACCTTTTCCACATCTGGGTCCGTGACCCACCATGAAGCATCGGCAAAAGCAATTCGAAGACTTTCGATAACAGCGTGAAGGTACTCTGTCGAGTTGTGCTGATCCTCGGTAAATACAGGGATCTTTCCCGTCCTTTCAAGTTCCTCAAGAATACCCAGGGCCATGAGAGCAACGATGCCCTGGCCGTTGGGTGGGTGCTCCCATATCTCCACCCCTTGGTTTGCTTCACCGTCCGTTCCATCGGTCTGCTTTTTAACTATATCTTGGCCCGTGAATTTGAGTGAGATAGCTTCAGTATTCTGTGTTCCGGTCTCAGCATGATACTTAAGATCATCCAGGGTCATATAGCCACCCAGGTCCTGGACGACCTTGACCAGCTCTTCTGCAACTTCGCCTTCATAGAACCCCTTCTTACCCTCCGCAGCAAGCTTTCGGAAGGTCTTGGCCAATGTCGGATTCTTCATGATTTCACCTGGAAGGGGGCTTCTAGCGCCATCTTTGGCTTTCGGATCAGGCTTGAGCATCTCCCGAAAATTTGGAGATGCATTTCGTAGCAGATCTTCACTCTCACGCCACTTGAGAAGCTGTCAGAATGATACATTATACTACAAATGCGGGACAAATTAAAAAAGATGAAACTTACAAAGTAGGAGGATAATTCTGACACCGCGAATCCTTGCTCGCCCAATTCAATTGCTGGTGTTAGAATCTGCTCCAAGGACAGCTTGCCACTGCCGAATCTCTCCACTGTGTCTACCCATCCAGCAGCTGCGCCGGGGGTGGTCACCGATAGGACGCTGGTCATTGGGATGCTCCTCTTCTCATTGGCATCGACGTTCAAATCCTTTCTGATCGTCTCAAGCGTCGCGTTGGCGGGGTATCGGCCAGAACCGTTGAGTGAATGAACTTTCTTTGACTTTGCATCATAGAAGAGACAGAACATGTCTCCACCAATCCCGGTTGATGAAGGCTCGGTGATATTCAATGCGGCGG